AGACCACTGCTCTGCTCGGCTCTGGTCGCTGCTGTTTGGCTCGTTTCCAGCGGGGGCCGTTTAAGATAGAAACTAAGCAGCTCTTCCCCTTTGTGAAGCTACCTGGGTAGACAGCCAGTCAGAAGGCAGCGCCTACAGGTGACTCCCCCGCAGGCAGCGGGGGAGAGGGGGAGCCTATAGCCGCAGGGGCTGCCTTGAGCACCAGCCCAGGGGCCAGTTTGTTCTGGGCGTCCCCTGAGCCTGTACCCTCCTAGTGACGGCCTCAGGTAAGACTGAGCATGAACAGAGAGGTTCTGGCCCACGTGGCTTCTCAGCCCTGACCATTCCTAGGGGTGCTGAGAGGCAGCAGCTCCCATGCCGGACTGAGAGGCCAGAAGGCAGTCTTGGTGCTGGGCGGTAATACTGCACGCAGAGGGCTGTTCGAGGTGGGCTTGCTCCACGTTGCACTGTCGCCAGTGGGGTAGTCCATGGCGAGAGTGGTCTGTCTCTTCTGATGATAGATTTTTCTTCCCCTTCCACTCCTTCTTCCTTTTTAAAAATAACTCCCAGAAATGCATTGACATTCTGATCGAGAAAGAATATTTGGAGCGAGTGGATGGTGAAAAGGACACCTACAGTTACTTGGCTTAACCCTTCCAGAAGTGTCTGACTGTGCGACCCTCCACACATAGTTCCCGGTGGAAAGGATGAAAACTCGAGCTCATAGCAGCCAGTCTGCCGCCATTTGAACCTCCCTTTTTAAAACTGAGACCAAGACTCCCATCAGCCAGTCTCAGATGTACATCAGAACTGCTCAGGATTGATACATTTCAAGTCTGTAAATATAGACACCGACGCCATTTAACCTAATTTAAGAACAGAGGGGAACCGAACCCTCCACGCCGAGGGCTGCATGCTACTGCATTCAAATCGATACGCTGGCTCCGGGGCTCACAGCTGCCGCCTGAGGCAGCACTTACAGTGTTGGCAGCACTTTGAAAGCGAGTCTGAATGGACCCACGTGTAATCTGCTATGAAAACCCATTTGTATAGTGTGTTTCATTTTTTAATGTGTGAAAATAAAGAAAATTAAAGGATTTCTGTACAAGTTGCATTTGGTTTTGTTTTCAGTTTTACTAATTTCTATATGTAAATAAAAGATAATAATTGTGCAAATTTATATTCCAGTGTCTTCCTATAGGCTAAAAGGCTGCATTCTTTAAATCAAGATTTTTTCTAAGATCTTAAAATTTTAAGTCTTCCTTGTAATCTTTTTTTCCTCAAACATTCATGCTCACTTCTGTGACCTTCAGTGACTTGAATACTGCATCTGAGGTCCTGTGACATGTTGATTCCATTCGCCACTTTTAAGGACAGCCTGGGTTACTCCTCTCGCAGCCTGGCCTGGGAAACAGCATCCTTCCCACAGGCGGGGAGATGAGCCGGAGGGAACGGCCACCGGTCCGTGGAGGAGCTGGGACGTGAATGCGGGCAGCAGCCCCGGACCACGCTGCTCACCTGTCCGCTGCCCGGCCTGAGGCCACAAGCAAGTGTTGAGACCTGGGGTGCACTGGGGCCTCGCTGCTTTTTCGTTCTGCTTCTAACCAGTCATGAGGGTACAAGAAGCAACAGTCTGAGATGACATCATCAGTTTTTACTGGTAAAGCTCCTGGGATCCAAGCAGGGGGACACGACTTCCTTCCCCCAACGGAGGAGCCCCGCCCCCGAGATGGCAGCCCTAATCACTCGGTCTGCAGGTGTCAACTGGTAAGTCGGCGGGGTTCTCGGCTCTCAGCAGTGGGGGCTCCTGGTTTCCAGCCTGCACAGCTCCACAGCTCCTCCTTTGTTCTTTGTTCACAGCCACTTCCAGCCAAAGGACAGGAAACGGGCAACTCGTAGCGAGACCTTCCCGGGCAGGCTCGGTCTGACTCGTCACTTCGTCACCTCGTCGGCCTCACGGGCTTCCTAAGCGGTGCAGGTGCTCGAACATCCTCATCCAGTCAGGCATCAGAGTGGGAGCGGCGGAGCCAGAGGATCAAGCAAAAGGTCACTTCTTTCGGTTTCTTGAACAGTCTGGCACTAAGTTATTAACAGGTTAGTTTTAAAAGTTAGAGGTTAAATAGATTATAAGAAGTAATAATAAGGCTAAGCACTTACATAATGGTTTCCACATTTTTTTAGTATATTCTCTTTTTCAAACAGTTTTATAAAAGTGATTCCCAGTGAATAAACTGGGCAAAAACCTGGAGCGCTGCCCATGGGACCTCCCCCCGCTCCAGGGCCCCCATCACGCCCTGGGGAGTTGGGCTCACCACTCGCTTTTCCTCACAGCGGATCCTTTCCCTGCCTCGGGGACCAGTACACTGGGGTGGGACGTCTCCCAGTGAGCTTTGCTGGTGTCGGGCCCCTCCAGGGTGGGGAGTGCCCGGGCTGAGTGCTGGGACCTTCAGGCAGACAGCTAAGCGAGGTAGTCACCCCCCATGCTCGGATTCAGAACCCGCCCCCTCCCCTCAGGCGAGGTGACTGCTGTCTCGTGGCTGTGAGGGTAGGCGCCTCAGAACTGTCTTTGTTCCCCAGCCCCCGAGCCTGAGCAGGGCCGGCTGTGCTTCTCTCCAGGGTGGAAAGGGGGCCGTGAGGGTAGCTTAAATCTGTCTTCTGAAGCTGCTCAGAGGCCAAGGCCAGGTGCTCCGAAACCTCGGGGCACAATCCCTACAGAAAGCTCAGGCCCAGGTTGGGGTTGGCGACCGCAGCCATGTTCTGAGCTGAGTCTCACCAGTGCCACGGCCTGCGGAGGAGCAGGGAAGAGGGCGGGTGGCAGGCCGGCCACTCTGCAGAGAGGAAGCAGCTGGGACAGTAAACGCAAGCCTAAGTAACAGTACATACGGAACTTGGAATTTAAAGTGTTTTTAAATTTTATTAATATTGACTGAGCATTTTAAGATGGGCTACTGAACACTGATCAAATTTCCTTTTGGAAAAAACAAGCTCTTCCCACACCCAGGTGATAACGCAAACATGCTGCCATGTTTGTTTGGAGCAAGTCCCCTTCGGAAGACGTCCTGGGAATGATGAGACCCTGGCCATCTGGGCGATCTGCTTCACGTCCCTGTCTCTTCCTTTCCAGCTCGTGCACCTGACCCAGCTGACAAGTCGTCATGCAGGTGAGCGTGGCGTTTCTCTAAACCACTTCACAGAGTTGTGGTCCACACGTGGTGGACCAGCCCAGCCCTCCCCACAGCCGTTTGAGCCAGGGCTGAGGCCGGAGAGGCCTGTGTTCCCGTTGACTCCACTAGGAGCCCAGTGCTCAGACAGCTTCCGGCGGAATACTTAGGTTCTTAGACCTGCGCATGGGTGTGAGCTCTACCACCTGGTTGACTTTGGGTGGCGTTGGAGTAGTCGTTGAACACCGCAGGCCCAGGCAGACTCAGGGCTGAGTCACTGCGTGGGTACAGGGGAGGCTGGAGGGCCAATGTGAACTAGGCAGTAATTTCTGGGTAGATGGTTGTAATTTTTTTTTTTAGTGAATCATGAAATATTAATTTAAAAGAATTCTAAGCGTGTTACGTCATGATGCCCTCGCATTTGCCTGTAGAAGTCAGTCTGTGAGCTACACCATTTGGAAACGATTTGGAACATGACTCATATTCGTCCTGTTTGATTCCGTATTCCCATTGGTAGGGAAATAGCAGCCTTAAGCTGAAGAAGCAGGTTAAGACACACAGACCACATAGTTGTTACCGCGGGGGAGGAGGCATACTGCTGTTAAACTTAGCTTTTGCCCAAACTTTTCGTTAGCTGGGTATTTGAGTACCTCGTGTGTCGAGCTCTGTGCCCTCTCGCCGGCCCTAGTACAGTGGCGCAGTGAACACACGCACGTCGTTTCTTCTGCTGAGAATCCCGGTGTCACGAAGTCACTGAATAGGGCACTGGAGAGCCACGTTTCCAATCAGCAAACAAAAAAGCTTGCTGTGCATCAGGAGAGCACCAGATGGTGCTCGAAACGACTGTCAGTACAAGCGTCATTTTTTCCTTACGCTGCATGTGGACTTGTGTGTGAAGTGAGCAGAACCTCCCTGGACTCAAGGACCCACCTGCCAGCTGTGTGCACCTGGTGACAGGTTGGGGGCTATGAACAGCGGAAGAGCTGTGGCTGGGATGGGCCCCATCCATGTCAGTAGGCACTATGGTAAGTAAGCCCTGGGGTGTCCTGAGCAGGTCTGTGTGGGCTCCATTTGTGCCGAGGGCCATCCAGGGTGTTCTCTGTGACTCGGCAGCAGCCAACTGAGAGCAAAGGTACTGTTTCATGGGCAGAGGTTAGGGTCGTAAGAGACAAAACGCATCAGCAGTGTCAGAACTAAGCGTGGCAGAGTATAAGGGTGACTGATCCTTCTGGGACTGGCATTTATCTAAGGACAGGTCTTTTCGCTACCAAAGTTAAGTGGCAAATTAACTTTGTTTTAGGACTCTCATTGCTATGGCTTGTGCATCGATGCAACAGAAACCAGTCTTAGCAGTGTTTGCATAATGGGAACAGAAGGTAAGTTTTAAATTTTCACATTATTTAAATTGTTCATAACTCTTTAGAAAAGGCAACTGCACACAAACGAACTACTGCTGCTTTGAAGGTGACCCACAATCACGTTGCCCAGTGTATCTTGGGTGGGGTGCTGGAATGCTGGCACCCCATTTCCTTGACACTTGAAGGTTGTAGCTGTCACCTTTCGAAGGTGGGAAAGGCATATATATCACTTCTACATCTAGACAACAGGAATTTAGAGTGAGATGGGCTCAGAGAACTCACCTGGGCCCATCCTGTAGAGGTTAAGTGGCCTGTACATACCTCTCCAGGCCTCTCAGCTGACTGGGACACATGCTCCCTGCTTTCAGGATGCAAGCAGTGTTAATTATATGTATATATTATATAGTAATACGCTCATTTTTGTATGTTTCATATTTATTATAATAAACAATATTGTTTAAAATGAGTCTGCTTGCCTCTATATAGATGACTCAACAGCAAGGACAAGTTCAAGTATTCTTTATTCAAAGTTGAAAAATGTACCATACTGCATTATTGCAAAAATCCAATGGTACAAAACACTTTTGCAGCTGGTGAGAAGGCAATAAAAAGTTGATTTTTTAACTCATTACTATAAATTATTCTTACAGTACTTTGCAAATTCAGAATTTCAAACTGCATTTTTTTTTGTTTGTTTTCCTAAATTGCCCACAGTACTCGAGGTTTCTGAAGCTAAGGCAGCGTTCCGGGGGGGAAGGAGGTAGCCGACGTCAAGGGATTTCCATCTCTCGCTCGATGCCCACGTACTTCAGGGCATCAGCCTGGCTGTATCTGGAAGGGCAGGAAAGAGGAGTGACCGCGAGCCCCCAAGGTGAGGCCAGCCCAACCGCATGCTCACTTCAGAGGGTGCTAAAATGTCTACGGAGGGCACAGGCGCAGCCATCGTCACCGGTGAAATTCCCAAGAACGTGGCCAGGCTTTGAACTGAACAAACCTGGACACATTCCCCAGCAAGTGCCCAAAAAGGCCAGGTCCACGCCATGTTCTTTGGGCCGGATGCTGGGTAGGGGGCCAGGAGGCCCAGGCTGCACTGCCTTCTACCCCGGTAGACCCAGCTCTACTTTGTTCAGTTGAGGGGAGGAAGGGCTGTTTCAAGGGACTTCGCTGTGGTGGCCTCCCACCAAAGCTGTGTGTGCACATGGGCCCTGTCAAATTTTGTTTAGCTCGCACCTTCAGCAATGCTGCAGTCTGCCATTGAAACTAGCAGCACGTGGGCTCTAGTTTACAGCAACTCAAATAAATGACTGTCTAGTTAAAAACAGCTTCTGAAACATGCTCAGCCACAAGATGTTTAACTAGACAGTCATTTGATAACATTTAAATGTTAAACTTGTCAGTTTATCCCACAGAGCCTGACAGTGTAAACTGCCAACCTGGTGCCTAACCCTATAAACAGATCCAGTGGCCCTATGGCTTTACAGAAAGGACCCAGAGGGTGACCAGGTGGGATAGTGACCAACATCTATTTAATGACAGATGTATAAATCCTCTCACACTTAGGATGTTTTGTTTATAACGTCATTCTCTTTAACAGCATACGGCAGAGGTGGCAGCCACATGCATGTTGTTAGAAGGTGCAGGGGTCACACACGGCTCTTATGAGCAGGATTAAAAAAAAAGAGGTATTTTACATTCTTTTTATATTTTTAAAATAAGTACTGCTTCTATAACAAACTTCAATATTAAGAAAGTAGGCCCTAACTCCCCATCCATGGCGGAAGACCCAACAAAGAGCTGAAAGCCTCACTCAGTGTCCGGGAAGAAGTGGCCCTCAGATCCCACCAAAAACGTCCCATTACCAACCTGTAATCAAAAAACAGCTCTTCACCAGTCTGGATGGCTCTCTTCGCAAAGATGCCTATCCTGTGATCGCCGTTGACCATCATAACTGGAAAGAGATGCACACTGGTGTCAGTGAGGCTGTGACCACAGGCCCCAGGAGGGGAAGGGACTGGTTCCCGTCAGTCTGTCTCATAGCTGTGCAAGGCGCTGTCACTGCACTGAGAGGAGGAGCCTGTCGTCACACTGGGAACTCTGACCCAGAGGCACCTACCTTTTGCATAGCAGTTAGGATTGACTGAATGATTTGCAAAACGAATTTTGTTACCCTTGCGGGTTGCGTCCACCACAAAATCTAAGGAGAAAAAACAAGCACAACGCAGTGAACACACTCAGTTACAGCTCTTCAGGGTTTATCTCCAAAAGCAAGTGTCATTCAGCGTGATTCGAAATGAACTAACTGCTAATTCAAGATAGTTTCTCCTATCAACTACACGTAGTACAGGGCAAAGCACTATAAAAAATGGAATCTACCCAGAATAAGCATTTTTCATATTTATAATAATTTCTTCCATTATGTTGTTTTATGGGACATGTTCATTAAAAAACCTACCCTCTTGTGTTTCAGCAGTCACTCTGAATACCTTTGCTTCTAAGCACACTGCCATTTGCATCGCAACCCTCCAGTGACGTGGACCAGCCCACGTGCTTTGCCTACCACCCTCATCTGCACAAGCAGCTCCTTTAGTCCCACAGTCCTGTGAGAACACCCAGGGACATTTTGGAGATGCTTCAAGTGCTCCATGCCTTCCCAGGTGACAGGGACTAACTAGAGGAAGTAAGTCAAAGTGACACGATACCCAAGTCCTCAGGGACGCAACAGGAGAGCACCAGTGGAGGGGCTCCCCAATGCCACCTTGGAACTAAATGCCCTTGAACTCAAACATACCATTATTCAAGTTGAAGAGAAAGCTGCACATGTACTTGTCATACACTTTCCCTCTTCTGTCTGCTTCATCTTGAGAAATAATCTGGGAAGAAATACACAGAAGATAGTGTTGGATTTGGTGACACACAAGCTCATCAAGAGAATTCCTACCTTCCTGAGGATACTCAACTGGCCAGTTTCTCTTTTCTACTTGGTCTGCATACTGACTTGTCAACAGTGATATCTGAAACACTTCAATTCAAAGGAGTTATGCTTGGAGCAGGTGTTTAACAAGTCCCTTTTACGGAATGAAAACTACCAACCAGCTAGGCTGACCCCAAGCTGAAACTAATGGCTCTTACCTAACTCTGCAACTAGAAAGTCACAATTAATGATGCTGTTGTTTCAAGGTCCTTATCAATTAGACTGTGGATTAAGTAGGACAGACTCCTATACCATAGTTCTTGTGTCCCCCTTATCCCCAGATGATAAGCACTAAATGTGACCAGGGCTAAAGTAGTCCAATTACTAAGCATAAGTCCAAGCTGAAAAGGCATTTCATATTAATTCATTAATATGAATTTCTAATCAAACCCCATGATAATCCAAAACAAAAGTTATTACATACGCTAAGTACCCTGTGAACACCTGTGGTTAGCATACATCATTATGCCGCCCAGAACTGGGCCGCTCTTGCCTTACCTCTCCACAGTATTCCGAGATGAATTCATTCTTCTGTACGGGATCTTTGATGAAAATCCCCCAGCCTGCCACATCAGATGGCGCCAGCAGTAAATGCTAGAGAATAAAGTACAATCATATATATCAGAGGAGAGCAAAGGTGGACTGCTGATAAATTAGGGGATGACTCAGTGTCAGTCAATAGGCAGCAGGAAAGCTGCTGAGTACCCTGAATCGAGGGGTCAGCTCTCCCCCACACTGTCCAAGGGGCCGACACGCTGCAGAAGCAATGCCCGGGTTTTCTGTGAACAGCACAGTGCACAACGGTGGGGCTGGGCTCTGCCCACGCACTGCGCCGCCACTAGCCCCCGCAGGAACTCGACACCAGGACGCCCCGTCACCGACGTGTCCTGCAGCACCTCCCAGCAGCACGAAAAACTATCAAGAGGTGGTGTCACCATCTCCTCAGCCCAGCATCCTGTTCTTACTCTTAACTCTACGTTTGGGAGCGAATCCCTACCTTTTCACCGTGGTTCACTATTAGGCTTTCATCCCAAATTTCCTTGTGACCTTTAAAAAGGCTCCCTGACCACCTAAACTCCCAGTCCATTCCTCTTCTAATCCAGCCTGTACTCACCTGATGAGAAACTGAATTAGCTAAGTAACAGCAAACAAATGAAACCCGGTTGGTAAAAAGTATTTACACAGTTTGTTTTCAGAGGTAAAGATGCCAACATGAATAACATCATCCACTTTCTGAACAAACTGAGTAGCTGATCATACAGCGGGCAAATGTGGTATGTCAGAGAAACAATGACATATATGGGGCCAAGGGGAGTGTCATGGAGAACTATCAGCATCACTGTGACACGGCGATCTAATTGGACATTACCTAGAGTGAAACTGTCTAAACACCTGAACACATCACAGCCAAAAATAAATAAATAAATAAGCCACTGCCAGAGACAGGATCTCTGGGAGAAGGGGCCTACTGGCAGCAGTGTGAGCGGTCACGTCACAACAGAGGCCTGGGGTCCCTGCTCTTTTCAAGTCCTGTAACTTTGGGCTTCCGTACTTATAAAATGGCTTAATGATCACTCCCTCATGGGGTTATGAGGGCAAGTGAGTTAATGCACAAAGCACTTAGCCCAGTGCTTTGCCAACCAAGTTAAATAAATGCCAGCAAGCTATTGTTATAAAAATGATTAACTGAACAACCCCATCCACCCTAAAAAAAAGTACTGAACTTCCCCAGTATATGCTGTTACTTCCTATTATTGCTCAGTAATAAATTCCCTGGTTGCTACAATTAAAAATCACCTGCATGCAACTCCCAGGCTGTGTTTTCAAGATTATTAAAGAAACAGGAACTAAGTCTGCAAAATACTGCTGTGGGAAACTTCATCTTTTACTCTGCATAGAAAGGAAAATTAGATGCTATTTGATAAGAATGGGTCTGTGTTCTGATAGAAACACCATTTATTTGCACTAAGACAACTAGATAAACTACTTCTACTAATCAAACTGAAAAATAAATTCAAATCACCTGTTGAACTACCAGAAAAATACCACTTATTCCAAATCTGAAACCATTAACAACCGCTGCTTACAATTTGCTAATTTACCTTATTCCAGAGTAAGGGGCTCTATGGAAAACATGAGCAGTCGCCCAGGAGGCCTGACCCAGACAGAAGCCCACTGCCCCCGTCCTACCCCCACTGAGGCTGTTCAAGAGCCTGCCTGCACGGCAGGGCAGGGCGGCGTTACCTTTTTGGAGCCCCGCTGGATGCTGCAGTTCTTGCACGAGACATTCTTGCTGTCCCAGTGGTCCGCAGCTCCACAGGTGAGACAGAGGTCAGGGTCACACTCTCGGACGGCCAGGTAGCACGGGCACTGCTTGGTGTTGCACTGTGCTTTGCAGCGGCATCCAGGAAAGCGGTTTTGACCTTGAGAGAGATGCTCTCCATCACCATATGTGAAAAACTTGCATAACCGTGCACGTAAGTCCCGTGCTAAGCCCCAGGTTAACTCATGAGACCCACCCAGCAACGATGCTGCCTTGGTATCCAAGCTCCATGTGCATTTTCATTAATTAAATAATTATAGTCCCTACCCCTATGCTACAGTTACTTCATTCTAAAGCCTAAACCTACCTAACTCTGGCAGTTTCTAGTGCCCAAAAAGTAGCTGTTTCTTACTATGAATGAATTTAAACTATCCCAATAGGCTCCTTTAATCCAGTCTGCCTCACCTGCCCACGTCACACACGTGAGCCAAGAGGCAGACTGGACGCAAGCACAGGGCTGGTTGTGGGCTCTGTAAATCCTTGCGGGGTCAATGGACACCAAGGAAATGACGAGCACAAGCTGCCACGTCCTTGCTTTGATTCCAGTTACTATCTTAAATTGATGACCAAAGCCTATTGAATTGTCATGCAATTTCATCAAAGCAAATACTTACACTCTGAACTACATTGACAAAACTTTTCACAAAAATTTTGTGCTATCACACAAGGGCACGAACTGTCACAAGGCTGCCGTGGATGGTCACAGGGTTGGTAGTTGTAAACGTGGTTAGAGGAGCCGTCTGCATCAAGATAACAGCGTGCAGGTCAATCCAGAGTGGGAGGTGACCGTACCCACGAACAAGAACACACCCTCCCCCGTGACCTTGGGAGCTCAGGTCTCCCTTACGTGCGATTTCTCACGCTCTCCCATCTACATCCCCAAGTGGCCTTGGAGCCCTGTCACCCCCATCTCAGTCTGATCCCAGAATACTGCTCCTCTAACCCGCCGGCCGATTCACTCCATCCAACCAGCCTTCACTGTACAGACAGCTGACTGGCAGTAACATTGACAACTGCCATTTAAGTTGGTTCAATGTACAGAAGTCAATTGTATCAGAATATCCTAAACTCTAATCCAGTTACTATTCTAAAACTAATGACAAGTAGACAGTTTAAGTGAATAATGAAGTTAAATAGAAAGGTGCTAACCTTTTTTCAGCTGTATCTTTCTGCAGTGTGCAGCCCACAACCTGCAAAACACAGAAAGTAACATAGTCTTCTCCGGAAGTCCCACAGCGGCGACTTAAATGGGCCAGTCAGTGCCTTAAACCCAGGAACTACAGAAGGAGTGAAGGAGTCCCTCACTGCCTGCTTCTGTGCCGTCAGTGAGCAGCGCTGTCACTGCGAGCCTCTCCATGATGGCTGGCCCTGCTGTGTGCCCAGAGGGTGGCCTTCATGCGGCAGGGGTGTCTGCCTATTCATCCTAATACTGTGTCTAATTTCAGGCATCTTTAATCATTCAACCAAAAATTTCAGAAGTATCTACTAAAACCTAAATTCTGTGGGAAAAACCAAGTTGTTTCAGTTCTAAATTAAGTGGACCCGACATTTATTAAATAAAGGTAACATGAGTGTGTATGAAGTATCTACTAAAACCTAAATTCTGTGGGAAAAAAACAAGTTGTTTCAGTTCTAAATTAAGTGGACCCTACATTTATTAAATAAAGGTAACATGAGTGTGTAGACAAGTCCTGAAGCACAAGTTAAATGCTCCCCTTTCCCTAAACTCCCTGGGGGGAGGGGCATTACAGCTGATGGTCCAGCCACGACCTGGCTCCACACAAGTCCAGTCAGCCTGTGTGGTCACCACCCCTCATCACTCATCACAAGCCTTTGTGAGGGGCAGTGTTCGCACAGCCTCAGTCTACCAAGAATATCTGGATGTGAGGCCACACACCTAGCAAATTCCGCCTCCCAGAATAACACCCGGCTCAGTGCTCAGTGCCCTGATCAGCCTTCCATGATTCAGGAAAACACCCTACAGCACATGCTAAGTGACTGTCCGTGCAGCCTTTACTGCAGAAGCTACTATCTTTCTTAACCAAGCACAGCACAGTAACTAGAATTTTAATGACACCAAATCTACTGAAAGCTGTTGTATTCTTACAGAAGAATACCAGCAATTTTCAGTAGAAACAAGACTCTACAGGTCTATTTTTTAAGTCGGTCCAAGTGTCTTTATCAAAGCAGAGAAGCGCCCGGCCCACAGCACCCAGGTGGCGTCGCCGAGTGGCTGCAGGACAGACTTACCGGTGTTTCCTCTTCTTCTTCCTCGGAGGGGTATCGACGTCCTCAGCGGGAGCCGGAGCTATGATGCTGGATTCTTTGACCCGAAACTCATACACCTGGCAAGGGGCACAGTCACAGAACCATGAGGGCCGTCCGGTTAAGCAAACTAGTCTTACGCTGATTCATACCAGAGACGCCTGTCTCTTCTGTGATGCTGCGAACGTGCTAGGGACACGGAAGAGAGCGAAGCGCGCGCTGCGCCGACCTCACACAGGGCGAGCAGCTGTGGTTACAACTGATCGGGTCTCGGCTAAGTCTGAATCTTTACTGGCTTTTTAAATCCACTGGCATCTGAAGCCAGAAGGGTGATTTTCTTTCGGTCCCTCTCAGAAAATAATTTACTCCCTCTCAGAAGATGAACAGGAGCTCAGTGATAACCAAGGCTGTTTCTCCCAGTTGGACGATGACTACGTGTGTTCTATCTGAAACTCTTTAACAAGTCTTATCACATGTGCTCACCTGTCTGCACGTTTTGGTCCCAATTAATCTGGCAATGGCACAGAAGTTGTCGTAGTAGGTGCCGATGAGGACACGGAACATGGAGGCCTCGGCCCCGCTCCACTCCACGTTCTCGGGGGGCTCGCTGTTTGGCTTCATCTTTATTGGTGTCTGACAGCGAGAGTTGGCTTCTACAAAACCAAAGGGAAGCACCAGTCAGGGGACGACAGCTGGACAAGATGATATGAAGATCTCAGGAAGTGAACCGCCCGACGATGAACCAAGGCTCCAGACAGTACCAGGGAGCTCTTCCCGGAACCCGGCAGGAGGCTGGGCTCCCTGTAACGCCTCTGCGACGGAGGCCGTGGGGTTGGACTGCCCAACCGTGGTCGTCACGGGGCTAAAATGACAGCTCAGACCCAGTCGGGAACACTGCCTGGTGGTTCTGGTCCTCTCTTCTGCCCCGGACCACCCACTGACATCAAGGACCCCACACTGAACGATCAGAAGTTCATCATGCCATCTGAGAAAGATGGAGGAACAGCACAGCGAGTGGAGAGGAACTGTCAACCCCCGACAACCCAGACAGCAAACGTCACAGGCCAGGTCGGCACTGGGGCAGGACAGCAGCAAGCACTCAGCCACGCATCTGTCCCCAAGGGGTCTTGGCTCTTGGATTTCTTATGAGACTGAAAACTGACCAAGAGAACCGTCCACTCCATCACACACTCTTAACCCACACGGCGCAGCTTTTCAAAGCGACAGTGAAGCCTGGGGAGTTGATCGTCTCACCAGAGGAGCTGGAGGTTTCGTCTTTTTTCTCCTCCTCTTCTTTATCGTTGTTCTCACCACCAGTCTCGGTCCCCGCCTCCCGGTCACTGTCCGTGTCCTTGGCCTCCAGCACGTTGATGGTGGGGGTGCTGGGCCTGCTGCTGTTGTTGGGCAGCCTCCCCCTTCGGCGGCCCCCCGGGCGCTTTGGTGGCGTCTTGATGCGTTCGGCGGTGAGGGCAGCAGCGAACTCCTTCGCCCCCTCCTACAGAGTGAAAGATGCAGACGTAAAGATGCAAGGTAAAGTTCTATGACGCGGGCAGGCAGGGGGAAAAAGGACTGCATAATGCACGTTAGTCATGAAATTATCACAGTATCCATCTTTCACAAGTAATTATTTGCATCTCTAAATACACTTGTTTTCTATCTGCTTTTCATAGTTTAGAAATTTCAAAAAGACAAACATGGCTTCTGATATCACTAGTGGTATGAGATCAGGCTGAATATATTAACTGATTATATAATAAGCCAAAATATAAAATATACTTTTAATTTTTTTTTAGGCGAGGCAACCCTTGGTTGACCTCACAGATTGCAAGACCTTGTCAGCTTACAATCCCTTATTTTTAACTTTTTACGCCTACAGCACCCGGTCTTCCTAGGTGGTCTCCCATCCAAGTACTAACCAGGCCCGACCCTGCTTAGCTTCCGAGATCAGACGGGGTCGGGCTTGTTCAGGGTGGCGTGGCCGTAGACAACATACAGTCTCTTTACAAGTGAATTTTTATGAGAAGAATCATAAACCTAATGTGCAGCTAGAGTCAGGCTTTCCTATTTCAGGGATTCTTAAGATTATGACCACTTTATTTGTAGTACACAAGACTACAAAACATGTAAACATGCTTGACTTTGTCACTTCCTGCCCGTTAAAACATCCAGTTTTCCCCCCGTGAGGGACACAAAATGAGCCCGAGGAACAAGGCTGTGAGGGTCACATTCGGTATTCCAAAGTGCCAAAATGCAACAGTCAGCCTCAGAAAGTATAAAACAATGGTAAAAGCATGGATTACAGAGACCAGAGAAACATTTGAGATGAGCCGAATAAAAATCTGCCTTGTAAAGAATAGTATAAAATAGTGGTCAAGAATTCCATTTTTTAGTGGCAATAGAAGGGAGAAGTTTGAGAGCAGCCAACAGTTTTATACTTTATTCTACAAAAACCAAATTGCTTAAAAATAGGATACCTTCTGCAGGTGCCATTCAATGAATCTTCTGTCCAAAATCCAACAGGCAATATATACCCACTTAGTTCCTAGGTAGGAGTGGCTTGGTTCAAAGAGGGGAAATGGTAAAAATAAGATAGTACCCGTAAAAAAACAACTTTTCTACCTCCTATTTTCCTAAACCTTTACCTTTTCTCCATCATTAAAAAGCAAAAACCTGTGGGGCCTCTAACACAGCTCGAACTACAGTGGGTCTAACTCGGAACAGCTACGGGCCTGCAACGGCACCGGGCTGTGCGGGTGAGCACCGCGTCCGGGTCAGTGGGCCGACTGCCCCGCACTCACCTAGACTCTGGAAGGTGTAGCAGTGCTGGATCCTAAAGACCCTGAAACGCTGCTGAGATTAACACAGATAAACAACGAATCATACAAGATCAATGAAGGACTAGCGTGTGCAGTGTGTGACTACGGAAGAAATGACAGGGGTAAGAACCTCTGTCTACTCTGTGGCCAGTAAAAGTACGGGAACGACAACATTACGCTGACTTGAGACACCTCACCAAGGTCAGGATTAAGACTCGAGTGCCCACCGGACCTTAGGGCGGCCACGCTTACCAGGTGCTGGTAACACTGCGGTCCACAGGGCTTGTTGTCCAGAGCGGTCTCCGTGTTCTTCCGCTTGTAAGTGTTGGGTGTTGCATGGAAAGCTGCATAAATAAAGGCAGAATATTTACTCTTTCACTCCCCCAGTTTCAGTGGAAAAAGTCCATTAGTACATCACAGAACTTTCCTCGGCTCTCCACTCCTGACCAACCCCTAACCGGGAGCAAACAACATTCTGGAGTGATTACTTTCCTCCTTGCAAGTGTAACTGCTACACACCAACTCTAAACTCTGATGATAAACGTTTATTTGAATCTTTAATCTCCATAGAAACAACTGATATATCCTCTACAATGAAATCTTATTTTCTGTTTTTACTAAAAGAATTCTGACATCTACATATCTTGATTTCTAAAGAAAGGTCAGCAATCGGCTTATCAAATGGGAAGAAGAATGGAATATCACCTGTGAAAAACTAGTTTTTAAATGTAAAAGAAGACAGCCTCTTAATACCAAAATTCAGCACCCTTCCACAGGAAAATAGACAATGGTCAGATAAAACAGGTCTAGAAAGATAAAATGTTTGAAACTTAAAATTCCAAAATAATGTAGTGAACAGATTCACATTTCTGTCCACTGTACACTAACAAAGTGTGAGGGCCAAGGGCTGCCTCAGGCGACCCGTGCGCACCTGCTCAGCGTGCGGATCAGGTACCAGAAACGCCCCGTTTGGAGCCGGACAAGATTCATAAAAACACGTGACTCATGAAACAAGTCATTTAAAAATATTTGTAAAGCCTACTTTTCTATTCATACAATTTAAATGGGAAATAAAGACAGACTGATGAGGGAAGGGGATGAGGGAAAAAGATGTTTTTAAAGTCTAGATTCGAGACTCAAATTCTGTTGGAAGCGTATGAGTCAGGTGTTCCAGAACAATGGCCTGATACCATGTGACCAGCTTAGCACTGGATGACATTCTGAACAGGCACGGACCCCTAAAATACAAAGACTGAGCCTACAGGTCACGGCACATAGGCAGCAAGGAATTACATCAATCCAAAAAATTAGATTGCCATTAGCCAGAGTGAGCACACATACTGAGCAGCGTATTTTTGGTAAAATTTGTTTTTAGTTCAGATGTCTCCTCTAGCACAGCTATACTTATAGACTGATATTCTTGCCCTGATTCAGTGAAGATACAAAGGCACACGTATCTGTAGACACACATACACACGCTCACATAAGGACGGCAGCCTCTGCTGGTCCCGAGTCAGAACAAATTAACAGTAAACGACGGTACAGTCTCCAAGACAAGAACAAGTTCAGGCTATAAAGGAACAATTAGCACATTTATCATCAAAGATACTTTAAGAAAACAAAAAGTACCTCTCAATTTCACACTGCATTCAACTAAAGAGAACTATTCTTATGACTAGATTTTCTTCAGCAGAGGATAGAATTGGTTTGCTATTCTTTCTAAAAACGAGTGTATAAAGAATTCCCTATTCCAGAAATGTCTGACTAGATTTCTAGAATACTGAACATACTCTTCAAATTGGCATCTTAAAATACTAATGTTTGAAGTTAATAAAATATATTTCAAACAATATAATATAGGAACAAGATTATATAAAATTCCCTGATCAGGAAAATTATTTGGAAGGAAAATTAAGGCAAAATACTGTTAAATTTTACAAAAAGGAGAAACGGGTATTGAGGGCTTTTTTTAAATGCCAAAAGCAACCTATAAAATGTTGATGGAAAAAATCTAAAGGTTTTCAAGCAAAGGTAAAAAGAAAAAACATGCAATTAATTCAACACTAAGCTAAAACATACTGCATAGTCCCTCAGAATCTTGTAATAATGTTTCACCAAATAACTGATGCCTCAAACACAACTGGGGAATCCAAGGACTAGAGGTGGAAGAAATGTTAGCAATCACTTATTTCCAGGGGGATTTTACAGATCAGGAAACAGGAATAAAGGTGCTAAGTCGTGTGGCCACTTGGCTGCGGCGGGACCAGCCCTCATCCGGCACTCTGGCGATGGGGAGGGCAGGAATGGCCCGGCATCTCCAGCCAGTCTGCCACTACTGCTGGTAACACAGGCTTTTCAGATACTTCAGCCTGTCATGTGGTAACAAATGATCACAGATCAGTACAAAGTGTCTGATTTGTACATTTTCTGCTCAAAGTACTGATCTTGTCTGCTGTGACTAGAATTGGCATTAAGAATAAATTCTTACTGAATACACTTAGAGTTGCTAGAATCATGTAAATTCTTTAAAAAAAAGTACTTCACAGAATAACAATGTTGATATTCAGAGGCTGGCAGAGTAGCAGCTAACAGTAACTACTCCTATGTTGGAAGCACACACTGAGAAGCTTTAGGGATTAATTCTCTCATTTAACTCTCAACAAAACCCCTGCCACATATTAGGGTCCTCACTCCCATTTTAAAGATGAGGAAAACTGAAGTTTAGGGAGTTTAAGTCACTGTTACATGGCAAATAAAACCTCAAGTACTTTATGTCTGAACTTTTAACTATTATAGATCTGAAATATTAAAAAAACGTCAGCCACCTATTATAAACTTCGGAATACCTTCTTTGAAATTCTTACCATTTAAAATGTTAAAATCTCCAGTCAACACTAATACATTCCAAAAAGAACACTCAGACTTTCACATAACATCAAAAAAGATGAACTGAGACAACTGGGTTTCATACTTAACATGGATTCCCCGGTAGGCCATTCGAGGTAATAGAAAGCATAGCAAAATACTTATCCCAACAAAATTTCTACTTCGGTCCTATTTAGGAACATAAAGACAACCCGCTGCAGTTTCCCAAGCTTACTCATGCTTCTTGCCCTCCTCACCTCCTTCTCTATCAGAAATGTATTACCTAAGGCAGACGGACCCGACACCCTGTTTCAGGCAGAAGCTTTTATAAAGAAATTCAATCAGTTTCCAATTTACGAAATGAATTGTGGCCTAAAAGTTATTTGGAATATGAAGTAAGATTAATTAGTTCCTTGACCAAAGCCATTTATCCTTCCAGGTTCACTGACGCCTTCAAGACCCCTTATCAGAAAAGGCCCCAGGGTCAGACATCGAGCTCTTCTGGCCCAGGTCAACTGCCAGTCCCCCTGCAATCGAAGCCTCTTCCTCAGAAATGATAAATGCCCCGACACCTAACTCACTAGTAGGGCCTAAGATCTAAGAGGCTGCCAGCACAAAAGAGTAAAATTAGTTGACCTCCAAAAAGGCACTTTTACCTGAATTAAAAAAAATTCTCCCTTAATCAATGAGTTAAAGAGAAAATAAAATAGAAAATATCAAAAAGTCGAAAAAGTACTCTAGATAATTCATTGTGTTAAATATATATCCAAAAAAAAACAAAGAATGAAAGCAAACATCAGACTCAAACAGAAAAACAGTAACACTAATACAGTAGCTGTTCTGAGGGAAAAATACACAAGAGATTTAGAAAATAAAATATATAAACCATAGGAAAAAAGGGAGAATGAAATACATAAACAGGAAAAGAATAATCACTGAAATAAAAGAATCAGAACACATAGATCAACTTTATACAAATTTCAAAAGCTGGGTGATATGGTTAATTTTCCAAAACATTCAGAAGTGACAGAAAATTTATCTACTACACCATTATTATTTAACACTGTACTACAAATACAAGCCAACGGTTAGGGGCAAAAGAAAGTTAGAAGGCAAAAATGCCAATGACTGCAAATAGTTTAGTTACACACAGCTGGAAAACTCAAAAGAATCTACTGAGAAACCATTACTAACAAAGACAATTCAGTAAAGTAGCAGTATATAAAATATACAGGATATAAAGGAAAAAAGCCCGCTGATAGGTACACGTGTGGCACCTGGAAACCATCTGACCAAAGAATGTGCAAGAGCTGCATGAAGAAAATCAGGTTATTAAAGGGCACGAAAGGAGACTTGATCCTGGTTCATTAGACGTCACCCTTGTTTTTGAATGTCAGTTTCTCTTTATGAAATTTATAAATTTAATAGGATTCTAATAAACATGCCACGAGACCTTTTTTTAATTAGACAAACTGATTCTAAAATTTATATAAAAGACAAGAGCTAAAAGATCTCTGGAAAAAAAAAAAAGCCACTCAGACAAAGGAATAAAACACACACCAGAACAGCCGAGCACACCTGGCCTGGTGGTGAGGGAGGGACTTTGCGACAATGGTCTGGAAACAAGTAGACAGGGAGGGGGCTGGATCCAAAATTCTATCAGAATAAATTCCAAATGGATCAAAGAGTTAGATGTTAAAAAATGAAGCCTAACACGTACTAGGAAAAAAGACAGAACCCTTTATAATCTTGGAGTAGGGAAGGTCGACTGATAAATTCAACTACACTTAATTTTTTAAAAAAACTTTACTTATGGAATTTTTACCAAACAACAAACTGGAAAAAAACTGCAACTTGTCTTAAAAAAATTAATTTCCTGACTATATAAAGAACTTTAGGATTTGAAAAAGACCAACAAGCCAAATGATATCAATAATTCAGAGAAAATAAAACACAGATCTCTGAAACATATAGAAAGAAAAAAATGCAAATTAAAACTATGCTAAAAATCATTTTCCATTCAATCAATAAAAATCCAAATTAGCTTCTGAACGCGCTGCCACAGGGCTCTGGGGAAGCGGGCATTCTCACTCTGCGGCTAGGTGGTCCAGTCGGCGCGTCGCCATAAGGCAGGTCCTTTGGCGACGCCCAGACAGCGCGGTCAGCTTAGCTCGCACGTGCGTGAACCGGCGGAACACACAGGTGGTTCGCTGCAGCGCTGCCCTTTACAGCACAGGGTCGGTAAGTCACAGGGCCTCCGCGAGCAGACCACGACGCGGCTGTCCAGACTGGAATATCACCTATGCGGTCACGTCAAGAAGTGAAAAGCCTGAGTAATGTGGCACCTCTTCAATAGGATGGTCGGGAGAAAAGAACGTTTTTGTATTTGCCAGAACTACAGAAAGATACAGAAGAGGTAGACAGACTTCACTGGACACCTTTTAATACTATTTTGAAATGTAAGTCATGTGAAAGATGTTTAAAAAAGAACAATAGTTAAACCGGAGCCAGATACTATTTTAACAGTATTAATCCTCAACAACGGCTTATAAAGTACTATATTACTCCCATTATACAGGCAAGAAACAAAATGAAAGCACAAAATGCTACATTTAACATGTTTAGTAATTTACTTCATGGTTTATTTCACCAAAAAAAAACTATATATATATATATATATAGTGATATATATACATATATATATATATATAGTGATACTTTGTCAAAGTTAGTGTAAAGCAATAAATTACCCACAGAATTTGTTAAGGCTCAACTGAGCAGAAACTGCTGGACCCACCGCCCGCGGGGCCTCCGCGTGGCCATCCCGTCGGCCAGTGCCCCCAGCTGCACTGAAGTGGACTCTTCTCTCCCACCCCGGCTTCAGTGAGATAATTACCAGGTTCGAGGTTCATCAAAATTACTCAAATCTAAACAGCACAATAAAATAACTCCTGTAATGTTTAATAGTATCCTGCTTCCTTGGTTCATCTGTACAACAAAAAGGTACATTAAATGCTACATCTGTAACAACAAATTGGATGGACCACTTTACTCACTCCAAAATAGAGCTTCCACTCATTTTTGTTATTATGCAGTTTACAATGTTCTCAATAAGAACTGGAAATATCTGATAAAGTGACCATGTGGAAAGGGTATTTAAATGCAATTCAAGACAACTATTTCAAGGGCTGTGTGAAGACAACACCGCTAAGCCCAAAGATGTGTGTATGGCGGTCATCCAACAGCTGAGGTAACAAGTGGCTGGCTCCCCGTGGATCACTAAACCACCGAGTCCTCCACGTAAACCAGACCGGAGGGTGGATGACAGCAGCAAGGAGATGGGAAAGAGAACAGAGATGCTAAAACCTACTTCAAGTTTTTCTAATTTAAGGCAACTAAACCACTAATGCTTTACGCACACACACACGCGCACACACACACACGCTCTACCATTTCCAACCAAGATATACATCACACAACAAATTATGAGCTGCAGCAAATATACGACAGAGCAAAAACTCAAACTGATGCAAGATACAGCTCCTTGGGCAGGTGGACGTATGACTGGAAAATGAGGGGAAAGCTGTAAAAGGCGCTAGGGTTAGGGGTTGGGGTTGGGGTTGGCGTTCAGGTCACAGGAGTTCAAAGAAACAAAGCAACGTGAGGACGACCACTGTGCACAGGTCGGAAGCCCCGCCCGTGCTGCCACGCCACGACAGCCACACTGCAGCATGACGGGGCTAACGGTGCTAAGTGAACTCTGCTTAGGGAACTGGGAGCTATGAAATATATTTTCAAAGTATGTTCCTCAAAAGTAGTTGGTACTTTAAAAGTTCCAGTTACCTGGACAATTTACTAAGAAACCTCATTCCCCAGCAATGTCAGAAAAATAAAGGAACATTGTATGTGACGTACCTTCAGTTTCAGTAAGAACGTCTTATACTTTACCCATACGCGAATGCAGGTAATTTTTTAGGTAACTTAGAGAACCAATAAAACAAATAAAAATGAAAAAGAAGAGATTTAACGCTAGAGAATATACAAGCACCTTTTTAGCCAGTTTCCCATTCCGCGAAGCTGGCTCATGGACCCTGGCAGTGCTCCTCCGGGCCGTGCACTCGCTCACAGTGACAGTGCCATTACAGAGCCACGGCGCGCTTAGCTCTTCTGGAAAACCACTGTCCCGTATCCCAAGTTCATGGAGACAGCAGTTCAAACTCAACACATGCAGAAGACTACAGAGCACCCTCGAGAGACGCATTAAAAAACAACAATACTCTGATCCTAATACATTTTTCAATCTTAACTCCAAGATTAAATGATAAATTCTAGTTGTAACAAACACTTTCCAAGTTGCTTTAAGACATAATTCCACAACAAAGATAGAAAATGAAAACGTACAATAATTGCACTTACGATGTAGGAAGCAGTCATATTTAAAACATCGCCTACAGAAAAGCGTATGAAATGAATGCAAGCTTTGCTCCCTCTGAACAGATTTAGCGTTTGGTCCGTCTATGTTTGGGGTACATTCAGGAGGAAGTGCACCGGGGAGCTGCTGCTCAGTGAGTTCTTTATACCTAACATTAACCAAGAAAAATGTAAGTAAAGGTGAAATTACGGTTTTAAAAATAAAGTTCCTAAATGGTTTCTGTGTAAATTTCAACAGTTATCTTGCCTAAAACACAAAAGAAAAGGTCTAGCCTACAATAATCTAGTGAAGAGCTATTTAAATAGTATGCATGATAAATCGAGAATCAAATCTATTGTGAAAAATGTTAAAATGAAACATTAACTGCACTAAAATTTCTACAAGTGTCCAGAGAACTTTTCCTCTGCAGGTACTACTGTAAATTATGTGTCTGTGTGTTATTCTGTCTACATAAATGTTGCGTAGTGGTACTTACTGTAAATTATGCGTTTGTGTTGTTCTGTCTACGTGAATGTTGTGTAGTGGCGCACCACAGACATGTCCACGTTGCCAAGTACTTTGCCAACACTGAACAATGAAGCGGAGTGGCTCAGTCAGCTACAGTAGCTCCATCTCTAATAAACCAAAGTGGCAAGTACATACCATACAAGGCAAGACCGCCTCAAAAGAACAAATCTTACTTTTCCTTAAGTTCTTCAGCTGTGCCCTTATCTGGAAACATTGAGGAAATGGCTTCGAAAATTTTATCAGAAGGAAATTTCCGAGGTGGGCGGCTTTCTTTATCTAAATATGGAAATAAATATGGAAAAAAAATAAACAAGTTTTCAATCTTTCATTTGCTTCACCCAACTACATATATATAACAAAGATAATTTTCTAAGAAATTATCAACTTTATGTTTCACTTACTTCTAACGTATTTTACATGTATCTGTGACATGCCAGTCGGTCAAACAAAAAATTCAAAATCAAATGTAGAACGTTTCAGACTGGGAGTCAGAAAACAGGCTGTAAAATCCCGGCTCTGCTACTAACTGGCTTTGTGACCTTGGCTGGTCACTGATCCACTTGGGTCTATTTGCTCATCTGTAAAAGGAAGGAGCTGAACTAGATGATCACAGGTGCCTGTTATAAAAGTTCTATGTTTGGAGTAATTGTCATTTACCCTCACATTCTTCTCAGTTGTCTTAATAATGAGCTTTGCCAAATCTCCACCAACTCTCAGCTCTGCCTTGGGACCCTCTAGTCCAGGTAGGCGCGAACCAGTGTAGGGGCTAAAATCACGGGCTCTGGACCAGTCTGAGGGGGCTGCCGCTGCAGCATTCTGATCCCGACTTACCTACTTCGCCTCACTAAAGCCCTCTTGACTAGAAAACGGTTCTGATAATCACAGCTACCTGTGGAGCACTGTGAGAATTAAGTGGGCTGGGACATACAAAGTGATTAGCACACTATACATAGTCATTGATCAATGTTATATAATGATGATTATGGTGACTGCCCAGTGAAACCCAAAAAACTAGAGCATATCCTTTTACCAGCCAAGGAAACAAAGACACTCAAGGACAGGAAGAAATGCTAAGAGTAATATTCTTATTTTGATTATACTACGATTGATGTGATTTTCAACAAACGGAAAAAGAAAAAGAGGAATGAAGACCTCCTTGTACTCCCTTGTTTGTGAAAAGTGCGGGAATGGCTGCACAGACAGACATACCTTCTCGGTTCTCCTCTAGACCTTTCTGTTTTTCTTCTCTTTCATCAGGATCATCTCCATCATCATCATCATCATCATCATTGTACTGACCAAGAGCATTCACCAACTCCACAAAAATTTCATCATTTATAAATCCACATTCTAAAATTCACCAAGTCAAACATGAGAAACATGCAGAGGAAAGCGGTAACGACAAACGAGTATGTACGCCTTTTCTGCTTTGGAAGAAACAGCCAGAGTTCATCAACTGCGCTCTAACATCATTAAAATCATTAAAACGGGGGGGGGGTGGGTCCTTCCCAGGACTGGCCTAAGGCACAGCTGGGAACAGAATTTATCTTCAACCCTTTCGTCTTCTCTTCAATCACTCCTCCCCCAAGTTTCCAGTGCCTTCTACTCTAACCTGTTCTTCTAGAATCTAACATTGGCCTTGGCGTCCTCTGAAACAATGTGTCTGTCAGACCTCACTGTCCAGACACTTCAACAGGGTCTCTGGGACCCAAAAACACCAAAGCTGTGACTCCAATGCTACAATTCCAGGTACTGCAGTGGTCTGGTGGGGAAGGTATTTTTGAGTGTAGGGCCTTTTGGAGCTCATGTCGCATAAGCAGAGCCCTAGTCCTAACTAATTTTACTGCTAAAGAATCTTAAAATCAATATACACTCACACGATTCTATCTAATTTACATGTTATTGTCATTATAATTTATGTTACAACCAACTATGCATAATTTTCAAGTGGCAAACATGATCCTTAAATACAAAATAGGGAAAACACTGAAAATTTTAGGCTTCTGAGCCAGGCCAGTCCAGCACAAAATTTAATTTAATACGAAAAAAAAAATCTTTTTCATACCTATGCGTTAAAAAAAAAATCAAAATCTCTCTCAACTCTTTGGTCTCCTTTTCCAAGAGAATAAATACATGGCTCACCTCTATCCCCATGTACTTTTCCATCATAATTTTTTATTAGTTCTTCAATAAAAGTCCCATCTTGATCTAAAACTTCATCCCCCATATAAGGAATGTTATGTAAAACAGTTTCATCTTCCACCTAAAAGTAAAAACACAGATCTAGAAAGCAACCTTATCCTAAGTATCAAATACTTTTAAATCAGCGTAACAACTAAAATACAATTGTTTTTCATAAGTAGATCTTGACCCACTTCTCCAAACCTAAATAGGCAGCAAATTCTAAAAGCGATAAAGAAATAAAAGACGGCCTTGCTAATAAGCATAATTGAGAAAAAAATTTAAGAAAAAATACTGTTTACCTAATCTAAATTATTAAAACTTACCATTATTTTATGTACCTCTAAGAAAGGAAAAAAGGTGTAAGTTACAATATGGCTCATCAATTTTAAAACATGTTCCTATTTCAGATGATAAAGTAACTGAGAATTGATGAAATATGGTTCATCAAAATCTACAACAGCCATGCCTTAACAAACAAACAAAAAAACCTAATATAAAGGTTTCTAAAATTCACTTGATCTAGTTGAGGTTCTACAGATTCTCGGGATATAAAATAAAGTATCGATAGTCCATGAAAGTTTATGCCAACAGGATTTACTCTTATACATAAAATGAAAACATTCTACAATGACATATTTCAATACTGAGAGGAAAAGATGAATAGCAAAACTGATAATGTCAATAAAGATAAGTTTATATCAAGGTTTGGAAGACAACAGGGAAGAAAGAGAGTGGTAGCTCAGTTCAGAGAAAATGTAATACTTAAGAATACAAGGAACAGGAAGCTGACATTCACGGGAGGAAGAGAATTTTTAATAAAGAATAAAAAAGACATTATAAAGACGAGAGGGCTCTGAAGTCCATATTTAAGGACACCAAACTGAGGATAGGTCTAAGTCTTAGCTTTGAAAAGGGTAATGGTTAAAAACAGATTTTTTAAAAACAATTCTGATGAAAAGAATGGACTGGCTCAGATCGACAGGAGGACATGGCAGCTTATTTCAAACGTGAGGTGCCTTAGGCTGGGACCACGACCCACAGGGAAGGATGCACGAGAAAAGGCCACGAGACACAAGGAGACTGTCAAGTAGGAACAGGCGGGAAATAACGAAGAAAAGGCAAAATTTTCCAATAATCCCTAGATAACAAATTTAGGACAACCGGAGAGTTCACACATTAGGGGAAAGGGAGATTAGGAGAAAAAGTACAAATGGGGTATAAAATGAAAACTTAAATGTTAATGTATGGAGCTAGTCAGATTCAAGCTTGTATAAAAATAGAGGGCCCAGTTTTCCTTGTATCTCGCTTGCAATAATCCCATTTAAACTACAGAAGTTTTTTTTTTGGATGTAAGCCTAAATTAAGTAACAATTGGCTATTTTGTCTCCCCAATTATATCCATATAACCTTTGTCTCCCAAATATCCTAGCAATAAGATAGTCTGCTCACTTTGCTTTAGTCAGTGTTCAACAAAATCCATGGGTGATTCATAAGTAATATTTATTGACAATTTTAAACACTATATTTTTAAAAATTTCATTCTATAAAAATAAGACTCCTCACTTAAGCTCTTGCAATATGATTTCCAAACTAAATGTTTTTGAATAAAGCATTAAACACACAAATTTATGGCCTTGCACAGCAGCATCTACAGCCTGCCTATAGCTATCCACTGTAAAATCTTTAAGAGATATAACACATTAACAACATCTTTTTTTTTATCTACTAAGCAATTCTCAAAGTAGGCTCACCAAGGATTTCCACCAACATTAACTTACTGTTTTAAGTGCTAAAACTACATATTTTTTATTTAACACAAAGAATGCACACTCAAATTTTTTTTGTTCTATCCTCCTTCATCTCTATAAAGAACTAAATACTAGTATTTCACTACAAAAGCTACTGGGCCAGTGTTATCTTGGAAATGTGCTTAAACTCGTGTTTTATAAGCCCTGAGAGTATTTCATAGTGTGCGTTATCATTTAATTCCACGCTGCCTGAAGCTGTTTAAAATAATAAATTCTCAGTTAACAAAACCTCAAAATCAGACAGATACAGGGTACTGACAGACCTCTTCAAGGATAAGCACTATAAACTTCATCTTTTAAATGTTTTTAATCCCAGGTATGGTTTTCATTTAACACTTCCCTTTGAAGAATATTTTAACTAAAAAGGACTAGGAAAAGAATACTGCAAAGGCTTAAAAATATATACATATAGAAATCCGTTAAAAAACATTACTCTAAGTACTACCATTTTGATAGCATTTTTACTCACATCAACTCACCTTGACAAGAAAATCATCTATGCTTTTCTATTTAAAGTAAGTGATTATCAAATAAGCAGAAGACACATTATTTACATACCATGAAATTCTGCTGCAGGGGAGACCAAGAATACATTATGGGTACTGAAGCAACGGCATTCAGAGTCTTTAATGGGATAACTTGTGTTGGAAAATCCAAGTCACTGGTCACTGAACACTAAAATAGAAAAAATAAAATGACTCGTAAATATAAGACAATCTGAAGCTATAGCCTTCATGCTTGTAAAGGGATGCTGTCTACTTGCATAATTCTACAAAGGAAATTTCTTTACCTAAGACAGTAAAGTTCATACAAACCAAAAAGTATTTTCTCCTTCCCTCTTTTACTTAGGGTGAAAAAAAAAAAAATGCTTCAGATTTTGCAAATTTTTAAAGCCCTCCAACCCTTCCCATACTTACCAATATCGAAAAGAATCAAAAACTGTATTTATGTTAGCCTCAGATTAACTTGCTTTCATTATAAATTTCTTTTACACCTCAACCACATGGAATAATATAGATGCCAACTATGCCACTTAAGTCTTATTCAGAATATGGAAACTTGTTAGGTTAACCTTCCTTATCTTTATTTTCCCTTTTAAAAAACCCAGGTGTCATTTGCTGAGTTATCAGATGATGTACAAACATTAAAGGGTAGATCTGAGTTTCAATCACAACAAAATGGATTCAAATTAATTCTTCAAAGTATGATCGCTAAACAGTAACAGCTGATGTTATGAAGCACTCAGTGTGCACTAGGCACTCACTATTTTGAACACAACATGTCTGACATTTAGTCATTACGGCTGTAAGAAGGGGACCACTCTTAGCCCGCAATTTACAGGTGAGAAAGTGAAGGGAAAGAAAGGATAAGTGATGGGCTCCAGGTCATACACTGGACAGGGCTAGAATTTACACCCAGAAAGTCTGACTCTGGAGCACCTGCTCTTACCCACCACACATTCTGCCATAATACCGAATTACTATGACGCTTAAGGACAAACATCCCCTCGAAATACCGTATTTCATCCAATCTATGATGACATCAATGTCAAGGCATGCCATTATCTTCTCTTATCACTAAGGAAACAATGTTGCCAGTTAAACCACAACAATGCTTTCTTAGCGCAGCAATTCTAAGATGCTTCAGACGTTAGAAGGTTAAAGTTTTCATCTTTGATTCTATGAAATACGGTAAAATTCTATGCCCAAATAACCACAGCACTTCCCATCCTGTCTAGGAATTCAGCTTTCTTAAAGAGTACTATTACCCAATTGTCAGGTCTCCAGAGCCTTCTCAAAAATGCCCTGGACATACAGTCATAATCTATAATCATTGAAAATAAAGCAAAAACAAGTAGAATTGAAGTGGTATAATAAAAAAAAATAATATATACACACATAATTATGAAGTGTTTAATTTTATTTAAGAGGTCTTAAAAATAGCAGGACTAGATTTGGTGAAATCAGAGCAGAAAGCTTTGGCCCAGAGGCCACACCCAGCCCGCAGCATCTCATCAGGCCCGGGAGGGGGGCGGGGCAATAATCTTCCAACAGTCACAGCCCCTGCAGCACAAAAACAGTTCCTTCCTCAGTGGAGGTGGAGGTTTAAAGGCACAGTAGTGGGGAAGGACTGTGACGGTGATTTGATTAATCCATTAATCTGCTTTCCAAAAGGGCAAAGATAAAGATAATAACACTGGAAAGCTCATAGCTCAAGTAAATAAGAAGGTATGACCAGTCTGCTAATAAATACTCCAGAACCCGCCCCCTTTCCCAGTTCCACTATTTGGCCTCTGATACAGTTCTTCATCCAGCCATCCAATAATCCAATAACAGCAGTTAACATTTATTGAGCACATACTATGTTGCAGGCACTGTGCTAAGTGCTTTATATACATTATCTTCACCACTCTCATCTCGGCCTTTAGCATCACAGCTTCACAAATGAAGAGGATGCTGAGGTTCCTCGCCTGGTCAGGAAGACAGTGAATCAGCAACCTGGGGTAGAAGCCCAAGTCTGGCTCGCACACCCAGGAGCTCCCTCACTGTGCGCTGAGATGCTCACAGGGTGAACGAACAGAGCCACGCGGTGGATGCCACGTACGCACCCCCTCCCCCGGCACCCCGCTCCGACTCCTACACCTGCGAAGTCTCCTTTCCTTCCTATTCGACTCAGTAACTTTGGGGCAAGTATCATACACTGTCCAGAGATTTCAAGGACAAAATAATTCTCATTTCTTGCAAAACAATTAGTTTTCGATTTTTGTTGGGGGAGGTACCCGATTCCGTGACTTTAATTCTGAAGAGTGGCCCCCTTTAAAGCTTGCAGCGGTCAGAGGGTGGGTGGTGAGGAGAGCGAGTTGCCTCTCCAACTGACTTATCTGCCTGCTTTAATAAATTCAAGGGCGCTTTTAAGGCTACGCGGCTGAATGTTCTAGCCAACGGCCAAGCAGGAGGGACACTGTCCCTGCTTCATCTGGTCGCTCCAGCCACGTAGAAAATGCTCGGGGCCTGCTGAATGAGGTCAGCTGACTGTTCCCATGAACAGAAGAACTAACAGAAGCACAGAAAATAAGACAGCAAAGGCTTCAGCGCTAAGTCTCGCCTCCAACCCCACACTTCGTCACTCCTTGACCCATCACCTCGATTCTGAGCCACGCCAGAGTCACCGCACTCTCTGAGGGCAGAGTGCAGCTTTACCTCTGTCTTGCAACCGTACATAGCACAGTGTCTCAAAAAAGAGTAGGCACTCAAAAAATGTTTCTGGAATGAACAGCCTGCGTTTGCTGGTTCTCCCTAATGGAGACTCCGACTTCCAAATTCTCTTTAAAGCTAAGAGAGCACCTACTTAGAAAACTGAAGGCCTAGCCCCACCTCGTTATCTATGCAGCATCTCTAGAAACCTATCCCATTAACTATTAACCTTAACTAATAACCATATTCCTTTCATTTATGAAATAGCAAATGCGAAAGCATTTGTTGGTAAAACAAGTTTGGGAATTCTTATTTATTGACTTATAGGAAAATTACTCAAAAGTCCCAGTTACTTACCAGTAACTTTTTTTCTTTGAAAATGTATCATCCTTGACAGTTATGTAATTAAGTCTCACATCGCTCAGAGCATAGAAAGGATTTCGACCTCATGGGTCTCCACAGCAATCTACCTGATCAGAGTCATGTGTCCTGGACTCAGAAACTCACCAGGAGACCTACGTCAACAAATTAAATTCTCTAAGTCTAGTTCCAACTTGAGAATCACACAAGGAAGTTATCACAGATTAAACTACATTAGTTATCAAGGATGCTACATTTTCAGAGAAACACACCTTACTGGTAAGTAACCAGATTCCTCTGAAGATGGATAGACTTACATCAACCAGCTGGTACAATAGGCGACTGTGTGGCTGGACCACTGGGAGCTGGAGAGGGAAGTCAAGCCAAAAATAGTAGTTGTAGGAGTACACAACCAAACTGAGACTCTTGGCAGAAGGCTGGTTCCAAGTAAAAACTGTGTTATGGAAAATCGTAGAGGGAAGAGCAGGTGAATGGCCTGCAGGGAAGGGAAAGAAATTAACACACCCTACTATGTGCCAAGCACTGCGCTAGAGACTTTAGCAACGTTAACTTCTTTAAAATTCACCACTGCCTACGAGGTTGGTATGACTCCCCATCTTCTAGTGGGACATCCCAAAGGACGACAGCCATAGCCATCCAGTCTCTGAACAGTCTTTAATGTCATAAGGGTTACATTCGACTTCCATATAGTAGGGAAAAAATACAGTCAGTTATCGAGTTCAAAATATTCTTGGATACTGGTTGGTCCACTTGATTTCATGCCAGAGACACATGAACTGTTGATATCGTCTAATACCCTTTAGCTTTTTCAAGTAAAACAGTACGGCAGTCTCAGACCTAAGGTGGAGAAAAGGGTCAGGAGAAGGCGTCGGCTGCCGCCCACTCCAGAGCAAAGCTGGGCATGACTTCTGAGACTGCCTATACTCTTCGAGATCAGAGTAGAGAAAAGATAACACACCCACGTTTTAATTCGCTAGCCCTTCTGGTGAGAATGACAGTGTGTGGAACTTAACGCCAGACCGCTGTCACATGAAGGAGCACTGGGGAAAAACTGTAAGACAAACATCAAGTTTGGATCGGGTGCAGAGAAGCTCGGTGGTAGAAGTGACTTCATAACCAGGGTTAGAAGGATGATCAGAAAAAGGTGAGTAGGGGAGACGAGAAGCTCCAGCAGGAGAGGGTAAGAAACAGAAATGGAAAGGAAAAAACCCACATTCGATCTCGACAGACACCTGTTAATAAACGCAGCTAATCGAAGGTGCTGGAGCTAAGGAATGAAAGAGTGGCCCATTCCAGCTATTTTGTTGTTAAATATTCCATTACAGAACCATCGAGACTGGGGGAGAACCTCTTCCCTGCGACACAGGCTCTCTCCGAGCTCACTTAGCGTAGCAGGGAGATTCATCCTGTAAGCGGCACTTCTCACATTTCTTCTCTTAAGAAGAATTTTAAGCCATATATAGCTTATATATAGCGCTTCACGTAGAACATGTAACATTTGGAATACGGCCTCGGGAAGTTCAGACCCTTAAAGCTCTTCCGGCACCCCAGCTTCACATGCCTGATCCTGACTCAGAGAAATCATAAGTACACGAACCTAGTTAATACATTAACTGCGAAACCTCAACACACAGGGAAAACCCAGTGCGGTGTGGGTCTGAAGGGGGCTGTGAGGGAGGGTCCTCTGCAGCTCTGCCGAAATCCCGGAAATCCGAAAGACAGCAGCCACAGGACAGGAGCTGGGAAAACTACGAAAACACTGTACGAAGGACACGAAGCAGGGAACAGAGCCGGGTCATCCATTATGTGCAGACTCAAGTACCTAATTCAAGAACAGTCCTGAGAGTAGAAAATAAGACCATTTCTGTCATTCAAAAACAAAACAGAGAGTATCATACAAGTCCAGGGTTTCCATAAACAGTGAGAGAGCAACTGTTCTGAAGCCCTGGGGTTGAATGCTACCGAGCGGGAGAGGCCCTAGGGAAAGGGAAGAGAGAAGCCTGTCTGTCACCACGCCAGAGTCTCTGAGGAGAAGCACTGAACCCCTCCCTGCTCAGGTGACTACCCAACGGTTAGGCCCGTTCTGCTAATCTTTGCTAACCGGATTTATAACTGCTCCTCAATCACTCATTGATTATTTAGTAAATAGTGTTGAGACGACCATAAAGCTAAATAGAAAAAACTTAAAGATCAAAACCCCCACTTTTTATACCAAAGGAAATTCCTGATAGGTGAAATGATTGTAAAATACAAAAATGAAAACAGCTAAAAAATGGATAATTTATAACCTGGAAGTGGAAAGACTGTCTGAGCCTTTAAGAAACACAGAAATCAAAAGAAGAAGTTCTCATTTAACTACATAAACATTTAAAACCTCTGTATAACAAAAATATACTGGAAATAACATCAAAATGGGGATAAGGGGTCTACAAAAGAGATAACTTTTATAATATACAAAAAGTCCATTAAAATCATAAGAAAAAAATGCAACCTAATTTTAAGAGATCTAAGACCATAACAGTCAATTCATAAAAGAATATAAACAAGCAACAGATACTTAACACCTAACTGAATGATTAAAGGCCAACAAATTGTAATAATTTTTTACATCACACTGAAGAAGATGAAGAAAATGATAACATTTGATGCTGGGAATGCAGATAAACACTCGCATAAATAGCTGGTGAGAGTGTAAAGGGTGAAACCTTTCGGGGGGGGCAATTTGGTAATTTCTATTAAAATTTTAAATACGCAGATCCTCTTGACCCAGTTACCCTGTTTCTAGGAACTTTTCCTACAAAACTACTCAAAAGATGCAAAGATGCATGTAAAGAATATTCACTGAACCACTAATTACGAAAGTAAAAAATAACGAATAAAATCTAAATGTTCATCCATTAAGAATAGGGCACCTGATTACGGTGTATCCACAGGATCAAAACTATACACTCTTAAAGAGCCTGAAGACCCGGAAAGAGGCTGTAAAATGATGGCCCAAAATAGCGGGCATGTTTTACTCAGGAGCAACTTTTAAAAATAAAATGTTACCATTATTAACACGTTATCATAGACAGAAAAAGAAACCTCCAAGAATAGTATACCTGAAACTAATAGAAAATACTACTGGAGGTCAACTGGAATTGAAAAGGTCTTTTTAATGCGAAAAAAGAAAAGAAAAAGAACAAAAGTTGCAGGGGTTGGACTACGGGGACTTTTATATATTTGTGTTATTTGAATTTTCACAATATCATCCGAAACGACATTTAATTGGAAAGATAAAAAACAAGAGTTTCATTGGCCCAATAGATATTCGCATTAGCAGGTATAATAACACTGCCTAACTAGTTGCCAAGGTAGCTCATGAAAGCTGCCCACACCTCCCAAAATAGCACTCAAGTGATATTATTTTATAAATCTAGTAATAGAAGATAAAACAGAATCCTAAGCAGCAAATTTAAGTCAATCCACATTATCAAGCTAAACTGCAGCAGAAGTTCCTGATCTAATAAAATTTTATTTTTTCAGAGCACTAAACATTTTAACACTGCAGCCCAGACAAGCATTTCTTTTGGTTTTGGCTTGTCCCGTTTTTAAAATAGCTGTCAAATTCTGGTTTCCATTTTACAAAGAGACTTAACCTTTGCAATAGTCAATTTAACAATAATTTGTAAAATGCAAACTATATACACAGCGCTCTAGGAGAAAAACAGCAAATTAAACACAACTTCTGCTTGTTAGTTGCACAAAAAAAACGCGCTTGATATTTTTGAAAACTTCTTTTTAAACTTAAGATCTATCATTTTAAATTTAAAATATAAACTCAAACATAAGTGTGATATCTTTAATAGATGTGGCAAAGATATACAAACTCAAATATCATGTGACCTTTTTTTTTAAATGACCTTTTCGAAAAGCATAAAACACTTATACTGTATTAGTTTCCTTTCAAAAGAAAAAGAACACCTCCTTCAAGGTCATTTAAGAAATGTTCTATCCATTTCAGCCAAAAAGAGCCAAAAAGGAAGCAGAGCCTGCAGTGATTTATAGTTACATGGGCGGAAGGACCAGCACAGTTAACATAAGACTAAACTCTCCAAAAATACCAACAAATGGTTAAGAGAGGCAAACAGCAGCAGAAAGCAACTTAGAAACCAGTTCCTCGAGGAACCAAAAAAGGATGGATATGTTTGCACTGAAAGTCAGAGCAGAAACTTGGGAAAGCCATCCATCCCTTTCTAAGATTGAGAAAAATGACCTCACGTGCTGCCATACCTGCTCAAAGGAGTTCTGAGGCCCTAGACATATTGGTCCTATAATCCTGCAAATTACAAAGGAAAGATAGCATGTTAGTGTGTTGACAAGAGTGTATTTAAGTGGAGAGCACTAAATTATGCCTTGTGTACACTAGCATATTTTTCTTTGTAAACAGTAACTAAGTTTATTTACAATTAACTGAGGAAAGTACATTACGAAGTCAATAAATAATGCAACTGTTTGCATGTAAACAAGATAATGCTTTTCTTCTCCCTGAACAAAAATAAGTTACACGTTCAAAAAAATTCACTTGCAAATATCAAATGATAGGTGATGAAGTTAAGATCATTTCAGATGTCACTAGGAAAAACAACCCTGCACATACTGCAAAGTCCAAAAGACATTTAATTCTTCCCGAATCTGTTCTTTCTGATGCTGCTGGACATTAAACATTCCGAAGACGCTCCGTGTTTCAGTACACGTAAAGATTCTATTTTCATTAGTAAACAAGACACAGAATTCTTACAAGAACATTATATCCTCCTGAGAATCTAAAAGTGCACACTGCAGGATAGTTGTTAAACTAAACCAATCGTACCACTCGCCCAGAAGACAGACATCACCTGAGGAAGGCTCTCTCTCCGTCATAATACATCCAGGCAATAAAAATCTTGATACAAAGAATCAGTGAAGGGGGAAGTGCCTTGTGATTTTTAAGCAAGCAATGGACAAATTTACAAAAAGAAATGGACCAGTAAGAACTACAAGAATTCTTAAACCAGTTTCTTCATTAAAACTGGAAAAACAGATACACTAAAAAACATGACTACCAACATGCAGACTCACAAAAGATGAAGTTTTTTGCCGATTGATAGGACAAAGTAATGAAAGTCACCTAGAAACTTTTTGATGAACAGCCACATATTATGGCAATAAGGTATACATCCTTTGGCTTGAATGTATCACTTAATGACATTTTTAAGCTGAATGCTCCTTAAAAAGATCAACCAAAGAGCAAAAGAAATAAATGTAAAGCAATATTATAGTCACTGTCTTCAAGAAGTCAGAAGTATTTTTAAGAAGAAAACACAGACACATATTCTGTATTAAAATTCTATGGGCAACAGTGCTTAAGGTTCTGTAATAACCTAAACACCAAAAAACATGTACCCAGAAATGTCTTAAAAACACACAAGAAGAAAACGCACTACAGATGTGGTCGCTAGGTTCAACTGCAGGGCTCCTTGATCTGAATAAAGTCGGCATCTACAGCAGGGACGTCAATAAAGCAGAAAGTAAACTTGGTCAGACATGTTCTTTACTAAAATAACCTAGATAAAAGCAATCGCTTTAAAATTGAGTATATCTCCAAGTACGGAAGGGAAGCAAGCATAAGACTTGAATGGAAAACTGAAAATCATCCTCATGGTGCAAAGGATTTAAACTGAAGACAGCACTTATAATGGATCCGCTTACAAAAATGAGCAGTTAATTACAACGATGTTACGACAGCATCTCCCAATGTTAAAAGCCACAGACTTTAGGTGTTTGGATTAACACTGCCGTCCCAAACTCTGCCAAGCCTACTACAAGGGGAGTCTCTGCAGAACAGCCTTTTATTTATCCTCCTGCTTCTGACCTACTTCAGACTCCAACTTTTAAAGTACATAAAAGAGATCGATCCATGGAAATGCTCAAGAAAAAACAAAACAGGGATATATTCTCATCTGAAAAGTGAGGGGATCAGAGATCATTAAATTCCTTTCCAGCCCTAAAGTTTTATTATTTATTGTGATAACACCAAAAGCTTATCACAAACTGTATAAACCTTCAGCTTCCCAAAGTCAGGGGTGATGTTTTTAAAGGACGGTGGGGGTGAGGGAGTAAAGATGACTCATTTGAAGCAGATCAGCTATCAAGAGCACCTCAAAAACGACCTGGCCTGACCAGGCCAGAGTCCCCCACAGCAAAAACTGAATGCCTGAGGCTGGGGCTGTCTGCCCTCCGTCCAGTCCTGTTCTGCGAAAATGGTCTTTCTCAGCCTGCTGAGTACTAAAGTTAGAAAACACTTTTATTAAAATGTGAATTTCTTCTCACAATTTCTCACATAAACGCACAATAAAAAAGTTACCTTTACATTTAACAATTTTTGTCTCTATTTGACAAAATTAAAAGCAATTTTCGATAAGCAAATATTCACTAGAATAAACTGTACTCTTAAATTTAATGCCAAAAATTATATTATGAGCTACTGAAGTCGTACATAACTAATGAGCTTTACTAACTTTCTAATGTGTCTGAGCGAAGTGTACTCTTCTGGTCCCACATCAGATCATTAGAGCAAGAGAAATGACTTAACTCCTTTGACTTAAGGCTCAGTTTCCTCACCTGGGGAAGGAAGGTATAATACAACAATCATGAAGATTAAATGAAATAATGTGTGCAGAGTACCTAGCACAGCTTACATCATAACTGATGTAAACTGGGATTGTGATAGCATTCTGAGATTTGTAATGAGTGGCAAAAATAAGTATTCCATGTCTACCTTACTTCTCTAAAATTCTAAGATTTATTCCTCCAGAGAGAGAAAAACAAGGTTTCTTTTTTCCTTCACCTCAAATCTCCAAAAGGTCACCAGACAAAACTTTCAAAGGGATTACTTAGAAGCCTCATGCTTATCCTTTTCCAGAACATTCTGACTAACGTAGAAAGAATCCCTTTCATCATTAGTACATTAGTAAAAAGTCATTACGTCCAGCATGTAGGCCCTGACCCGGCCCAGATGGTGTGGCGGTATTAGAGCATATCATGTATATTCATACAACTCTAAGTCAGAGCTTTAAGGAGTTGTCACCTGAAAAAATGCATAAATGACTAAGACGCACTCCAAGTCATGCGTCACCCTGATCAAGACCAACCTAACAGCACTGAGGTCATCTCCAGAATCGTGTCTGCAGCAGTGACAGCACTGACAAGACTCTGAAGTCAGTGTGTCACCCAGTCGACAGGTCTCATACGTAGCAAATTATTGTCTGACTGTCACAAGATTATATTAAACATGGCCACTCACTGAAAACATTATCTTAGAACAAACTCCACTGTTTGGATGCTCCCCGTGTTTCGACACTCAGCTAAACGACCATCTAAATTCCACAGCACTTTCTCGCCTCTCTTGCGTCAATGCCTGTTCAGCAGCGCCCCACGCCCTGCGCCACGTCTCCCCACGTAACACGGGTGGACAGAACTGCTGCGACCGAAAGCCTGCTGGCCGGTTCTACTGTTTCAGCTTCCGCCATCTTGTTTTTGTCCTGCTGCCACTGTGTTTTAATGTGTTGATAAATTATGTGACCAGATTTATTGCCTTCCTTTGAAAATAGATTTCTTGGAGTGATTAAGATCTCATTCATTCAGAAACGTTATAGAAAAGGAAATTCTGAGCTCTTGACTCTGAATTTAAAAATTCTTAAAAAAAGATCCTTAGAATTGGAAGAAAATGTAAAAAAATTCTTAGTTGGTGAATATGAACAAAAAGGAAACATTTCTCACAGCATGGCTAATTCATATTGAGGGCAGAAGAGACAACTGTGAGTCAGAAAGCCTTGCTCTAAACTGTGATCTGATGAGGACATTAGAGAGTCTTTAATTTAACAATTTTTTTAATCAACTGTCTTCTACAAATCTAGGAATCCACCTAGTAACAGTGAAAGTATATCATAAACACCAGAGCTCTGTTATAGGAACAGCTGTATGTGTTACCCTAATAGCTATGAACAGTTACATATTAAAAAGCAGCAACAATATAACATTGGACAGCCTGAAGTCAGTGACCTCCTCTCAATAACCGACGTCCCAACAGCAAAAAAGCAGAATGCACTGATAATTACGACAGCGCGTGAGTTAACCAACCTCCCTGGTCCCGCGCAATGAGCTCACAGAAGTCAGGATGTGTACAGGCTGTATCCTTCGCTGTTTCCATTCTTGGTTTAAGATTTCCGTTCTTTCCAAAATTTTCTGACGATTGGAACTAAACATGCTCTTTAAAGAAATGAGGAGAAAAGAAATTGTTCATTGTTAGAAAATTTGTAGTATCTCTACTGTGGGTTAAAATCCAGTGATTTTTTCAAAAATATCAGGAATATTCCCTCAAATGCATATAGATTTTATACTAAACTATAGTTTTTCACATTCAAGTAATACAAAAACAGCACACTCATTATTTTATTGGAAATGGGAAAAGAACAGGAAATTATCTCCATGCTTTGTTAACTTTGTATTAAAAAATCGCAATGACATTAGAAACAAAACCATGAAAGCCTTCATATTTGGGTCCCAAGTCTACACATGCAGTACAAAGGTATATACTAAAGAGTGAATTTCAAGCAGGTTGAAAATCTTTCATTACCATTAATGTGCATGGTACAAAATTTATGTTTAGACAGTTCAAGGACCTTAGCTTCCAAGTCTTCATTTATCTTACTATAAACATGACCTTGGCTGAAAAAGACTCTTGCAAATTAACACTTATCTTGGGGGGGAGGGGTGGGGACTATCTCCGATCGTACGCACTTTCACAAAAGATAAAGTGATACCTTCACTTCGTCAGCCCGCCTGAACCTCTTGAGCTGCCGCAGCCGCATGTACTCTGATTTTACACGCTTCCGCCAACAAACTGGTCCCTTCTCAGATTTCTTCCCAGTCTGGCCCATGATTACTCTAGAAGCAATGGTTTCACATTAAAATCACTAATCTAACCAGCCTGAATATGATCACTTGTGTTTTAATCCCCAGCAAAGTAACAATCTGCAGAAGAAATACACTGTTGATATTTGCAGAAAGGTGTTCAATTGTACCGTATGGTTAAATCCTTAAAACAAATTATAAATTTTTATTAATACAACTTTTCAAAGATATTATTTACAAAGATCCCCCACTCCTAGATAGCGGCCGTCTTACAGAAATATTGTCCCATTACAAGAAATAAGTATAATATAACGAGCTAATTTTTAGCCTATGAGATCCACAGACTCATGGAGGGAAAAAAACGTAGAAATACACCGTAAGTTTTCATCATTAAATTACAGGCATAAATGAATAATGTAATTGAAAAAAATCAGAAAAAGTAAAATTTACATACAGCACTAAACATAGAAACAGTACACTATATAATAAATGTACAAATTAGAGTATTCCCCCTACGCACACTTTTAAACCATGATTCTCACCTTAAACACTGCTAAAAGTCTGTATTTTCACCTCTTCTGCCACCTTGATTCACATGAGGGGTTTGTCTACCAGCAGGAGAAAGAAGGGATGCAGGAAATGCAAAGTAAGTTCTTCCGCCTGATCTTCAGTTGCAGGCTCTGGGAACCAACTATGTTAACGTGTGGGGACAGCCTATAGTCACCAGAAGTCTAATTCATACTAGAGTCCCCACTTTACGTCTAAAGAAGTGTCCTCTTCCGGAACATTTTCTTCTCAAAGTATTAAAATCATACTTGTATCTTCAAAAGATTGGAAGAACATTTCCCCGTCAGAGGGTGCAAAGGTGCCATGTTAAGGATTCTGCTTTAATTTCTCTAAGAGCAAGGGAAAGTCATGGTGTGTTTTAAAGTAAAAGGGGAGGGCGAGATTTCGATTTCAGAAGGACCAGCTGACTGCAGCACAGGAGCGAGAGGGGAGGTGGGACGAGGCCAGGCCAGACTGCACTCGGCGCCGCCACGGTGGAGATGGCAGAGAAAACCGAAGGAATTGCACTTAGTCGGGAGAAAACCTGGTGATGATTTAAGCGTGGAGGAAGATGACATTCTGGCTCGAAACACTGAGTAGGGTTTGACTTACCTGTTTCCGTAAATCTTCAGGCATAGAGAAAATTGCCTAAGGAGACGAGATTTAGAGAATGAAAAAGCCCAGAGGTCAGTGGGTAACTTTTTGTTAAGAATACTGACCACCGAACAATGACAAAGGATGCAGGGCTGGGCGCTGGGAACCGAAAGCGGGGCAGAGAGAGCGCGTGGTGCGTGACTATGAGCCAAGCAACGAATACACAGAGGTGACTGAAACACACGACCTGCCCTTACGAAGCCCATGTCTTACCTCAGAAGGCCAAAGAGAAAAATGCGTTACGAGATACACGCGTGCCAGCACGGCGGGGGGTGGGGGGGTGGGGGGCGCATGGGGGGGGGGGGGGCGCACTGCAGAAGGGTAGCAGGAAAGGTGACAATCTGAAAAGGCCAAGAAAGAATGAAAGGGACTCTACCGTAGGAGCAGGCACACCTGGAGATGGGGCTGCACGCAGAGGCCCGGCGGGCAGACCCTGCTAACGAAGGCGGAGCCGAATCTGGTGAAGGCCCCAAATTACAAGGACTGAGAAAATGAGAAGAATGAAGAGATTTCATTGTCTGAGATAAAGTCTCCTGAGATCAGAGATAGGAGCAGTCCTTGAGAAAAGGTTAAAAATGCAGCCCTGCCCATGGGTGGCTGAAGGTGAGCAAAGGTGACAGCCCTTAGAACTGAGAAGACGAAACCAGATGGCCAGTCTTTGTGGTAAGTAAAGCAAACGTGAGGAAGAAAGCGAGCTTCAGAGACGGGCGCTGGGGCAAAAGGACCAGTCAGGAAGAAGCTGGAGCTTCCTTTAAAAACTAGCGTGGAGGCAGCCATCTGCTTTCCCTTCTGCTAGCTGACGGAGGAGCTCGAGGAGCTCTATGCAGATTTAGACATTTTGCCCTTCAAAGGCCTAGGAGCTAGAAAGAAAAGGAATCTGATAAAGAGGGATTATCTGTTGTTCCTTCGCTCATAAACTATTTCACAACCAGTCCCATCTGACCCGCGACAAATTCCTGGTGCTGGGGGGGCCTGCAGCAGGGGCGTGGCACTTCGGTTCCACTCATGAGCCACACGGGGTCATTACATTATTACCCTTCATTCTGTCAGGGTGCACACATTCAGTCTTCATGAAGACATGAGTTGGCCTTCTGTGTGTCCATAATGGAACCCCCTTGTCCGAGACCCTGGCGTACCTTCACGTGCATCTGCCATTAGCAGTGAGGGAGGAGTCACAACCAACCGGTCTCTCTCGGACCAAAGGTTTAACTGAACTATGTTGGAGATCAACAACGGGACATTTCAAACCTGAATCTGGAAGCAGCCTCTCTGGGAGAGGGCACGTAGGGGCAGATTTCCATGTTTATAACATTTCACAAAGCTCTTCCACACGAAGAAGTGCATGAGTGAATGTTTCAGGCTGTAGGATAAGCTGGTAAATATGCTCAATGGAGAGGAAATGAGGAAAAACAGAGTGATTCCTAATTTGTTTAGAGGAAATTTCTGAAATATAAGGATCACACTCTAAGAAATAAATCTAAAGGTGTTCAAACTGTTCTTTTAAAGTACACGGATAAACAGGCAGATCCATGAAAAAATAAAACCTAGGGCACCACTGAGAAGGCTGTCTTACCTAAAGAACCCCCCGCCTAATACCACAGCATTTTAACACAGTATAACCCCATTTTCACATTTTCCACCCCACCTCACCCCCGCTTCAGTTCTTCCGTAGCAAGAACAATTTTTTGGACTTAGAAAATCCCAGAGCCTGGTTGTGTGCTGGGCAGTAGGTTCAAAAAACAAACAAAGAGGCCCGTTAACACACACTGATCGTGAGTCGCACAGAGTCCAGCTGTGCCACAAGGTGTGAAAAAGGGTGGCAAGCACGCCCAGGCTCAGAGAATGAGGGCGATGTGCGCCCTCACCAAGAACCCCTCGGGAGATGTGCCTCGCGGACAACGGGCCCCCGTGCTCCAGCTGTCCTACCAATCGAGAGTCCTGAGTGAGAACCTGGAGCTTTTGGAATTTCTTTCTACTGAGGAAGCTGATATTGATGTTGCCTTCGCCATCAGGGATAACACCTGCCTGGGTGGTTACCCGCAGGCTCGCCCGGCTCCACGCCCGGCATGTGTGAGCCTTCTAATGTCAGCTCCCCTCCCACGGAAGGGCAGACTCCAATCGGCTTTCTGATTCCATTTCCCCTGTACCAGTAAGTATTAAGATACAGCTCTGACTATTTGAGTAGCAGCAGAAAGAAATGACTTGCCACTAAATGGATGAGCATTTGTGAATACACACAATTTTTAAGTTTCTCAATCACAAGATGTGTTTCGTTTCATAGGTGAAATGGCACTAGTATTATTTATCCAGGATATGAAGGCAGCTGCTCTTATTCAAAAGAGGTTACAGTGTAGCTCAAGTCGTCTTTAAAACATGATTCTACCTGTATACAGTGAAACTAAAACAACCGCTATGCTTTAATTCAAAAGAGAAACCGGATTATGGCAAGGACCTTAATAAAATGCATTAAAGCCTTACAGAATTACATATATATGTAATTCCGGAAGCCTGGGACCCCGGCCTGGCCAAGGCCCGCCACACCCTGCAGACAGCCACCACCAGTACAGGGCTGGACACGCGATCAGAAGCAGTCTGGCCACCGTGACACTTCCAGGAGGGTCCCTGCAACGTGAGGACAAGAATGCTCTTCTCCGCTGAGATTTGAACCTGGAAACACGCTGCCCCAAAGTTGCTGGAAGCTAACTTGCAATCGCAGAAGAGCCTGCGAAGACCGTCAATAACAGAAAAAGAAAGAACACCCAAAGCCAGAAACGGGCTCTAGCTGCATCCGCTGAGCCCTAAGACGGGCACGCTTTACCAAATCCACTCCAGAACTGTTCAGTTACATGAGCCAAGAAATCCCCCCCCCTTTTTTTTTTTGCTGAAACTAGTTTGGGTTAGGTTTTTGCCACAGGAAACACAGAAGGGGTCTGAGATACATTCTGTGTTGAGATTACAGGTGCAATAATGCCTACATGAACAGAAGATAGGCTCCTGTCACTCATTTCCTCCTCATCGATGGCATCACCAGAAGCAGCAGTTACTCCTGCAGCTCTGCTCCCCACCAGGTAAGGTGCTTACTCCACTGCCTCCGGCTTATACAGCGCTGCCCCGCCCTGCGCCCCGCCCTGTCCCCCTCCCCCGCCATGTGGCCAAGACACTCCTTCCTATGTCTCCGGAGACCAGACCACAGAGCCAAAGAATTCAGTTAGACCTGAACACTGTGAGGGCCTTTACCTAAGACGACACTCCTGCCTCTCCTTATTCTGTTGCCAACGACAGAGGGTTTTTTTAAAAGTCCCTTAGGCATTTTTCAGTGTCCTTGATGCCTTGCTTTTAAGGTTCTTCATTCCTAAAGGAATCTGCCAAATCAAGGCACTGGGTTCTGTTTCTACTTACTGGAAGAAAACTAAATAATAAATTGCATGTAGTACTTATCCTTCCTAACTAAATTAACAGCATTCATTTTGCCTCTTAACTGAATACCAGACTAAATAAGGTCAAATCCAAACCCATCAAAATTTAAGTATACCACCGCAATATTCTCAACATCCTTTTCTGACGAAAATGTCTTTTTCCTTCACAGCAAGACTGCCATAAAATTGCCTATTTTGAAAAATCACTAGTCTTCACCAGTGCTTTTATGTTTAAAATGCTTTGAGGGCAGCTGTTAGTTTCATTTAACAATTTCATTTATTTTTAAGTTAAAATCCATTGCTTGAATAACTTCAAAAGTAAATTAATGGTAAATAAGATCTTGTAGGTAAAGATAAGGAGAGCAACATAGAGAGAACCTACAGACACGGAGACGTAACTCTTGGTAAGAGATAAAA